ATCACAGCTCACAGCAAACTCCAACTCCTGGGCTCAAGCGAGTCTCCTGCCTCAGCCTCCCAAGTAGCTGGGACCACAGGCACCCGCCACAACGCCTGGCTATTTTTTGGTAGCAGCCATCATTGTTGTTTGGCGGACCCGGGCTGGATTCGAACCTGCCACCTTAGGTGTATGTGGCTGGCACCTTAGCCACTTGAGCCATAGGCACTGAGCCTTTATGCCCTTATTTTATTAGGCTATGTATAACATGTAAGCTTTGGTTCAGACAATTAAGTTTTTGAATTCATCCTAGAAAAAATGCTGTATGCTTCACTGCTGAAAATACTAGTCACCTTTGAAGTACTCCCCTTGGGAAGCTATGCATTGACTCCAGTGCCTAGTCCACCCTTCAATGCAATTTTGGAACTCTTTTTTCTGGAATGGCTATCAGAGCTTTCATCATACAAGGTCAATTAAGCTCTTGACCTCTTTTAGAAAAAGGCCCCTAAGTGTAGACCAAGCATTTGTGTCCGTGCACAGCTTCCCAAGGGAGTGTTTCGAAAAGTAAACACAGTGATATTCAGGAAAAGAAAGACAGAAAGAAAGAGAGAAAAAAGGGAGGGAGAGAGGGAGGGAGGGAGAAGAAGAGAAGAAAAAGGAGAGGGATGGAGAGATAGACAGGAAGAGAGGAAGGGAGGGACTATACCTAAGATGCTAATTAGCGCTGCATAACTCTGAGCCACTAGGTGGAGCTAAAATTACAACTGTACTTTAATAATAAGGATTAGGGAGTTTTCCTTTTAGGGATAATTTTGAACCTTCAGAGCTAGAAATTTAACTCTGGGAGGCTGAGGCAGGAGGATCACTTAAGCCCAAGAGTTTTGAGGTTGCTGTGACCTAGACTACCAGGCAACAGATTTAGACCCTGTCTCCAAAAAAAAAAAAAAAAAAAGAGAGAGAGAGAGAAACAGGACTTTAATTCAAATTTAATCAATTATTATTATTTTTTACAATAGACTTTCAGTTTTTACACCTATTAAGCCATGAATTCATAGAGAAAAGCTTCCAGGAGCTCAGAGGCCTTTCCATCAAATGTGACAAAGCTTGCTATGCCTATTATGGCATGAATTTATATAGGGAATAGGTTCTAGTACCTTTTGCCCCCATTCAATTGGTTCTTTTGGTTTTCCTGTGTTTGTTGCTACCCTATATGCCTATTATGCCATGAATTCATAGGTTCCAGCAGCTCAGGCTCCTTTCCATTGGTTCTCAACAGAGTGAGCATCTCTGGGAAGAGCTGGTGCTTCAGTTGAACTCAAGTACCTTTCTCTTTGGCTTCCTTCTTTTCTGATCATTTCCCTTCACACATTTTAGAAAGCTATCTTGGTCTTGAGTGCTTAATATGCTCAATATGAACATTAATCCTCTTGGCAGGCTCGGCGCCTATAGCTCAACCGGCTAGGGCGCCAGCCACGTACACCTAAGGTGGCGGGTTCAAATCCCCAGCC